GTTCCAGATGGACTGCTCCTTCAGTATGGTGATGACAAAAATACTACTTTTCTTTTTTCAGGTGAGGCACAAGAAATGATCGAACTGAGACAGCCGGCTGAGAACATATACAATGTCTATGAGCATTCCAATTTTTATGGTAAATGAAATATGCTTGTTTATAGTCAGCAATATTTTTATTAAAATTTAGGAGGATCCACAATATTTTGAAAGAGCATTTTTGTTATAAATGACGACAATTCCTTCAAATATATAAATGCATAAATTCAAGACAAATGCATAGAGCTAATTTCCTGTAAATCAAAGTTACAATTACATTTATGATAATACTTTACTTTTCTCTCCTGATGGGGCTTTTAATCAAATATTTTTTAAGCGGTTAGCATTTTCGTGCTTAAAAAATAAGAAGAATGCAGTTAGAATACAGCTCTATATTATAAAATGTTAAAACTAGAATGCAAAAAATACAATACGATCAACAAAACTCAACACTTAGTTTTATAATATAAATGATGAAGCGACAAGACCAGTAGACCCTTGCGTAAAATTTAAGAGACTGGATGATTTAAAGGTAAACTTATTGTCAAGATTGTTCTGGATGTTCAAAAAGGTTGGGTCAAATAATAAGCAGCACTGACATTTCGACGCTTGTAAACAGATCCAAAGTGATGTGGAAAATGAGAGCTTAATTCCATCATACAATGTATAAAGTTCAAACGACTCTTACTAAATCTTAAACAATGGCTGGTGTGTTTCTAAACTTAATGGAAGGTCCAAAATTGATTTCCAGTTACCAAATAATTGAAGTTTGAGCATTTGGAGGTACACCAAGTTTTACCATTACGTTGTATAATTCATAACTAAAAGTGTGCATTTCTTTTGCTATACTTAGCTAAGTGACTATTGCTTTTAATACTTAATGATCCTTTGCAGCCAATGGACAATCATCAAACAATCAAAGTACAGAGAGCTCTGCTGCGTCCTCCACTGGTAATCCTAGCTTTGCTATTTTTTCGCTCTTTTAGATTTCCTCTACAACAAAAACAAACAGGTTTTGTTTTATACAACTAGGTAGTTAAAAAGTAATTTTTAAAAAAACTGAAGCTCAAACACATGGCTTAATTTCACCCATTTTTTAGGCTCTTGCCAATACGGTCATGGTTACACACTGTGTAACACAACGGATCTAAATTAGCAATTGATACTTTGAAAAAATTGTTTTAAACAGTAGCTTCATGTTTACGTACTTGTTAGCATTGAGATCATGAAAGATTGAGTAGTTTAACAAGAAAGAGGGCCAAGACCCAAAACGCCTTCTTAAGATCACTCGCGCCTAGAAAACAAGAGTAGAGCCTAACCGAACAACACCTAACACGACAAACGACGACCACTACTGTACAACTACCAAACGATTGACCAAGACCATGTCCACCAACCACCACACACTGCCATCACAACCTCTTGGCCAACACCACCCCTACTGCTACCATTGTTCGTTGGCTCTCTAGTGATGTATATTCATTATACTAAAAGCAAAATTTCAGCATCCTAGCTCAGAGTAGCGGATTTTGCCCAATTTACATCGGTTCTACCAAACGCAGAATTTCTGCATCCTAGCTTAGTGCAGGAGATTTTGGCTGGGAGAGGGATAATGAAGACAAACCGCAGTTGCAGAAACAGCGGCAATCGTAAAATTTGAACAAGATATTGTTATAACATCTCTGTTTATCTTTTACAGAGTTAATAACACCTGTTGGTGTATCCAGCGTAACGACTTTTGATGCAAACAGCCTCAACCTCCAAGTTTCACGTATTCCTGAAGGTATACAGACAAATGTTTGCAAAAATCCTACTTGTCAGTTTCAACAAGAATAAAAGACAAGCGATCTTACAAAATAATAATAACAATAATAATAATAATAATAGTAATAATAGTAATAATAAAAGCATTTATTTATATAGGAAGAAAATTACAGCATAGCAGCTGTGGTCGCGTCAATCAAAGCCGCCATCGACCAGCAATTTTGACGAGTTATCTATCTATACGAGCCTTTTTCCGAGAAAGCGAGGTCATTTGTTTTCAAGACGACAACCATGTTATAATCTTTCAGTTCCTTTTAAAAAATCCTCAAAGCTTTCTTGTGTAAAAAACAACGAAGAAATATATCGAGCTTTTTAACAACTGCGACATATTAACTATGCTTTGCTTTGATATAAATGAAATATCTAAAGAAGTCTTAACTTTCAATGAAATATTACAACAATTGTTTATTACATTTTTAATTAATGTTTTTCTTATAATTTTCATAGTTTCCTCAATTTTATTCGTTTTCTTGGCGTTGTCGCCCTTCTCCTCTTCAGCCTTAGGCACTACCTCCTTCCAGACATAAAAAGAGAAAAAAAAACATAGGACTTTGTGGCGCCTGAAAGAGCATAAGATGAAAGTCGATTCAAGCTAAAAAGTGCTACAAGTACGGTGCATTACAACTAATCAACAATTCGTTTCATGGTGCTCTTCTTCGTATCTTGCAGATTTGCTGCTTACAAGTGTTTTAACAGACGTCAATGTAAAGGATGACGTTGCTCGCGGTTTGGATCCGGCCGGTCCTCTAGGAACCTCGAACTGGATCCATCTCGCTGAGGTATTACAAATACCGGACGAGATTATAATATGGTGTCAGAATCCTCACTGCAGTCCAAGCAAACACATGCTCGAGTTTAAAGAAGCCGTGGATCCCGACTTCTCAGTTCAGCAACTCAAAGATGGACTCCACGCCATTTCCAGAAATGATCTCGTCAAAAAACTTAAAGAATGTAAACTTCCTGGTAAGTCTGAGCTTCCCGTTTAGGTCCCTAATGTTGATTCTGATAAACGTTTCATTGTTTCTTTCCTCCACCGATATGCATATCGATTAAGGAAGCAATCTGACTTCCAGATTTGTAATGCGTGCTTTTACGAGCTGATACCTTGTCTCCCACTTAATTTGATGAAGCTGAACTGACTTGACAACATGTACCAAAATTAGCTGCATATTTATTGCAAAAAAATCCAAATGGATTATACTTAGAGGGTTTTTGATTAAACTATAATACACGAGCTAAGTCATAGTTGGTAGAGGAGACTGGTTAGGAAAGCCGGCAAACATCAAAGTTGAAAGCAACGGTGCTGTAGTTTATGTTGGAAGCTCCCTGACCGTGCACAATCATTTGCTTTTTGTTCACAAATTGTGACTGAATAAATTAATGCGATGTTTCAATTGGTCACCAAGTTCAAAACGATAGCAATGCTATTGAACTTAGTGCACCGCCAGGTCCAAAAAAGCGAACAAAAACATATAACAAAGGAGTTAGCCTGCGTAGCAGGCGCTTGGAAGTAGTGGGCACAAGAAAAAACGGGCGCGCGAGAAGGAGACACGCGAGGGGAGAGGAAGCGCCTGCACGGAAGGCCCCCGAAAATCGTTTCCCGCCCCCTCTCTAATTACTTGGCAGCCGTTGCGTGATCTGTCAAAAGTTTTGACAGAAAGCGACTGGACCTCGCACAAACAAAGCAAGCCGCCAAAAAGCGTTGTACATTTTATCTTCGGTCTAAATATATCTGTTATAAAGATCAGCTGGGTTATCTGATTATAGAGCGATGGAGCAATAAACTGATTGTTAACACACAGCTTTAAATCGTTTTTAACCATGGGCACAATAAATAGGAAATAACAAAGTCAAAACTGGGTATCTTTTAAAGAATGCATGCTGTGTATTATAAAAGCTAAAAATATTGTTCTGGTCAGACACCAACGATCACAGCGTACGTGGAAAATGACCATATTGCTTTTTACTGCGCTAACTGGCAGCCGTTTTTGGAGCAGACATGTCTTACTAAGCGGACCTAAACCTCAGAACACAAACTGTACCGACATGTTTTCTACTGCAGTAATGAGACATAAACAACAGACCTCAGGTCGCCTCCGAAAGGCGAATAGTACAATAGTGAAATGTTTTTTTCAAATTCATGCCCCTGGTAAGTGTTTCATTTCATCAATCATGTCCAAGTTTGATGGTATACGTTCCATCGACAACACAAGCCGCCAAGTTCTCCTGAGCAAAGAATATTTCCTCTGATCTTCATTGCAACGATTCGACAAATCTTTTGTCTCTCGCCACTTCTGCTGATGCGTATCCGATGTCAATTCTTTCCATCGTGAATACCGTTTGAACACTCCAACTTTTCTTTGAGATTACAGCCACATAGTCCCATTAAACCAGATTGAAGTGACCTCCGAGACCTGAACTTCGATTGTATACAATTTAGTGGTTTCAGGACCCAGTGGTGTAATGCAAGATCTTCACTACGTTGTCCATGTACTATTGATTGACAGTTTTCTCGCCCCGCGCGGTTAATTTTTCCCTCGGGAGCCTCTCGACCAATTGGAAATATCCGCACTCACAGAGTGCGAGTTGAAACGATTTTCGGGGGCCTTCCGTGCAGGCGCTCCCTCACCCCTTGCGTGTCTCCCTCGCGCGCGCCCGTTCTCTCTTTCGCCCGCTACTTCCAAGCGCCTGCCACGCAGGCTACAAAGGAGTCTAACGAGTTTCCTAACCATACCACTTTAATAAATATGGCTAAGTGGAATTCACGTTCATTACCTAATCTCCTACGTGCGTTATTTGCACAGATACTGCACCATTGCGAGACCTCCGTGAACATCACCCCAAGACCTTTAAGTTCATTTGCATGCACCTGGATTTAAAGCATTATTGGCAAGAGCTGGGGGAAAAGATCAACATCCCGGACAAGAAGCTGCAGCGAATCGGTACTTCCTCTACCTGTGCAAAAACGGTCCTTGAGATCATCGAAAAAAGAAACCCTAAGCTGACTGTGCTGGAGATAAAGCTTGTCTTAAAAGATATGTCGAGAAAAGATGTGTGCGATGCGCTGGATAAATATCTGCCACCAGGTATAATTTCTTATAAATTTCAATATGCAGGAAATATTCGATACTTACTCTTATAACGTCACCCAATATGAGCAATAGTGGTAGACAACAAGAGCCTAATGATTACTTAGAGTAATAGGCTTCTGCAAACGATCGAAGTGCACAATATCGTTATCACAGTCAGCATCTTCCCTCGGCCAACTCGCGCCATAGGATTGAACGGAAGAGGCTTGAAAAAAACGGGAGCGAAAGTTCGTGGCCTGAATTCCAGCATATGTTAGACGCTTTTTGCATTTCCTGGAGAATTTGGCTCTTGCCTTGCGACGCCATTTCTGAATTTACTTTATTTGATAGGCATCCAAAGTGAATTCCCCTGGCACTCTTGACGGTGATGTATACGTAACATTGATCTCATCGAGGATGACTGGGAATCCAGCTGTATTGTAGTATAGAATTCGACAGTTTTTCCCTTATCTGACATTTCGCTTCACATCTTGATTGCTTTTTGGTGCGAACGTGTACTATAAAAAAAATACCTTTACCTCTTTCTGCTTACCGGTATCCTGGTTTTTGTATTAGGTTTACTTAACTGCAACTATATCATTCAGATAATTTGACAAAACAAATTTGCCTTTTGTTTTTTTTGATATGCATTTTGATATACCAGCCAGGGGAGAATATAATTTATTTGATCTTGTACCCTTATTTATAATATTTTCCATTTTCACAGAGAGTTGCCACACAATTAAAACTGTTTGTGAAAACCCATACTGTTTGGAAGAGGTAGCCACCTTGTTAGAAAAAGAAGCTCGAGGAGTAGAAAACTGGCTGCATTTTGCTTGGAGGTTTGATGTTCCCAAAGAGATATGTGAAAGTTTAAAGCCCAAAGAAACACCAAGTCCAACCAGAGCGTTAATGGAACACATCGTTCAAGATAAACCAGACATGACAGTCAAGACGTTCATGAAAGCGTTAATGAAGATACAACGTACAGATGTCGTGAAGGCTTTACTAACGCGGCTTTCCTGGTAACTATGTAACTATATTAATTTTCAATCTTTGAACAAAACAACATGAAGGGTGTATTCATTTGCAACAAACGCGTATGGCTGTCGCAGTTGACTGTTGGAGATTTTTCATCGTTTTTGAACCAACAAAACCAATAAAAGATCCAACAGGCAAATGCGACAGTATACTCGTATGTTGCAAATGAATCCACCCTATTTTATATTTCTATTCCAACGATATTCCCTTGTTCGCAATTCCCTTAGTTTCTGTGTTTGTTTGTTTATATTTTGTTTTTGTTCAGTTCATTGTTTGTCTGAATTATTTTCTATTTATTCTGTCGAAAGATCCTCAAACAAGGACAAAACGGCAACGAACAGTAGTTAACTCATTGAGAGAGGGCTCAAGAGATGATTTGAAGGCCTTGGCAAAAGGACTGCCAGATAGTCTGTCAACAGGATACGGCTTTTTGAAAGATTTACGGGTAACAGGATCAACGATCCTAAACGTTTACGTTACCACCAAAGCCGGCTAACTTCAGCTGTCGATCTTGGGAGTCTCGTAGAGTCACTGAGTATGCATGTTGATTCAACTAGAGCCGATAAACAGCTACAGTGAAGAGAGCTTTTATTACCAAATCCTACCCATGAGGGAGGGACTCGGTGGTGCATGACTTGTAAAATAATAGTTAGGCATTGCACCTTCAATTAACTTTAAACCATATTTGACATGGAGACCGTCATAAAAAAGGGTGCCATTCAAGGGATATGTTCATCCAAATCTTCGGAAATAAATATTTTGTACCTTCACTACTTTCTATTATTCCAGTTGTTAGTAGCATAGCAAGTTTCCTTTTGTACCAGCCTTAAAATGTTATGCACACCTTAACTGATACCCCAAAAATGCGCTGGACATGTAGTTTCATTTAGTTAAGCACAAGGACGTACTATCACAAGTAAATACGTTCTCTCATGTGTAAAAGGAACTCGCATTTTAAACATCTTATCAGTAATGTATCGAGACTACGTGTGCGTCCAATTGCCAAAACAAAACGGAACTTTTAAAGAAGTTTTTAAGTAAAATAAAGTAATCTTTTATTTAGAATTCTTAGTCAGTAAGGACTTCACTTTTTATCTTTTTTGTCATGCATTCATAAATAAATTGAAAAACACCTTTGCAAAGCGTTGTTTGGTCAGACTGAAAAAAAAGCAATAAAGTTGACTTTAGGTAGAACCGACGATGACAATAAATGAAGTTACTAATAAACACTGAATTCAGCAAACAATATACCTCTTTAGCTTTTACATGTTTTGTTTTCCCAATAGAGGTTCCATGGGAACTTAACCCTTTGTCTTTTTTGCCGCATTGAGTTTTATTTGTGCGTTAGTATTGCTTACCTTCTCTCTGAGAACCCCTTATTGACTTACAACTTTATTTTCAAATGCAAAAGCTCTCATCTTGAAAATGCATGGTCACACAACTGTTATGAAATCAGAATATTTACCAATACTTAGCAAAAGATGGGGATTTCGTTCGTTTAGCCGTTATTTCGTGTGAGGTAGCATGGCCGGGACAGCTAAAATGCCTGGCCTAAAAGTTTCCGTTTATTTGGAAAACTTCCACTGAAACAAATGATAAACTAAAATGCTTTTCCACTTACAGTCAAGGCAGGTCAAGCGTACCCCCCAAGATCCTATTAATGAATTGATTATTTGAAAACTGAAACCGTTAGTCGTTCCCCTAACTGGTGTCAAATTCAAAGCGGCATTTCTGCATGCGTAATGAGCAGTGAATATTTTACGAGACCTTCTCTGCATTTGGTCATTTGGTTGCAAATCTTTGAATGGATTAAGTTTCTTAGAAGACATTTATATCAAATTCAGGAAAACTGAGCTGGTAGAAATTTCACAACTGCGTCGCGTGTGAATTCACGGCTCATTACACATGCAAGAATCAGGGGCACCCCACGAGAATATAGTTCAAACCACTTAAACATAGCATTGTTAAACGTATTTTAGTATTTAAACGGTAGATACAGGCATATTTTCATCCCCTAAAAATTTTTCATTTGTTCGGATTCCCTAGCTGAAAGTCTAGTGATGCGAAAATTATAGGGATCAAAACTTACCTTTTCGAAAATTTCAGCCAAAAATGGCTCCCGAAAATTCTAGGTGACCTTTTTAGGGTAAAAATCCGTTAAAAATAGGCAATTATACCATTATTTAGATGTTCGAAAATCCTAGGAGAGGCAGGCAAGCAAAAAATTTTACAACAAATGTTCCGAAAATCCTAGATGTCAAATCGTCTTCCGAACAGATATTTTCCGAAAACTGTCGTTGGGTGCCCCTGAAGAATGCAGAGAGATCAATCTGAAATCTACAACTAGCAACGGATTCAACTTTCGAAAAATAAATTCATTAATGGGTTCTTGGGGGTACGCTTGACCTGGTTTGACTATAAATACCAGCCGCTATAAAGACAAATACTACGAAAGGCGAAAAACTCCTTTCTCTGAATGAATTAGCATGAGAAAACAGACGACATTTCGAGACGGCACCAACTGTTTCCCCGCGAAAAGACGTGTGAGAAACGAGCGCAGAAATTCCTTCTGATGACGCGTCACTACCCAGATCTGGGAAGTGCTTTTGATTGGTTGAAGCAAATTTCACGAGCTACACGACCAATCAGAAGCACTACCCAGATCTGGGTAGTGACGCGTCATCAGTAAGGAATTTCTGCGCTCGTTTCTCAGACGTCATGCGCGGGGAAACCAGTGGTGGCGTCGCGAAATGTCGTCTGTTTTCTCAGGCCAAGAATGAATCCAGCACGCAGTTTTCAATTACCCAGATATAAATAACTGTTAAATGCAAGATTTTCTCTGTTTCGAAGACTTCCAGTCACTGAGGAGCAGACAGCCATCACCATCTCTCTCTCTCTCTGGTGTTCCGAGGCTTCTTGACCATCATGCACCGGGCTTTCTCTCCAACACAACCAACAGTGGTGGAATACCAGCAACATTTTCTTGAATACCTGCAATAGGTCGAAATTTGATTTAAGGAAAGTAATAGACACATGTTTGAAAATGTACTAAGAATCGCGTTCATCATTCTACATAAACTTTTCTTTCTTTTCATTGGCCGAAATCCCACCAAATGACCTGCAAATAACTGCCAACAAATAATGGTCTGCTCATGGGCAATGTCGTCCTACTGTGTTTGGCTGCAAATAATATTCTGCTCGTGCGTAACCACGTTTTTCTCCTTAGTGCGATCGCTCTTGCTTGAAAATGGCAGATCACTTCCAATACACGAGTTTATTCATTAAAAAAAAGGCTCGGTGATCGAATGATAAAACAATCATTGAACTCGGTTATCGCAAAATATCGTGATTTGTCAGTGTCTCGCAGATCAATCATTTGGCGAAGCCGAAGGCTGAAGCAAATAATTGATGATTGATCTGCTCGCCACTAACAAATCACGATGTTTTGCTCAACTTCGTCCAATAATTGTTAGTTGCTTCTGGCCGCGTCAATTAGGCTTTTTGCTTCCCATCATTTACAATTTCGTTTCCACAAATATTTAATAATCACCAAGAATGTGCAACCTCTCTTCACGGAATCCATGATGGTAACCAAAGCATCACGGGTCGAGAGTGCTCTACACCTTGCTATGACCTTGCTAGTGCTATGACATAATACAAGAGACTAAAAAGACCCTGGACAGTGCCCGCACTATACCTTAAAACTAACCCGTAACCCTAAGAAAATCGCCGCACAAAATTTTCAATCACGAAAATCCCCCACTTACCATTGCTGTCGTCAAAAGACTTCTTCCAGCCTGAATGAAACAGGAATAGGGTTTTTCGATGGCTTACGTACAGAAAGCCAATCACAATACTGACGGCCAAAACGAGCGAAACACAAATCAATACCAACAAAACTCCGTTTTTTCCTTTTTCATCTTCCGTTCCATAACCAAATAGACCTTCTGACCCTGTTGGTTTTATTACAGCGGAAGTGGCTGACGCATAAGCAGTTGTGCTGTTTCTCCTGGGCTTACACTTTATGGTGTTAACGTCATAGCGACACACTTGATTGACAGGCAGGTTGGTCTGCTCGATGCATTGTTGTTCTTTATCTGTTTCTTTACTACCAATGCAACACCACGAACATGGGTGGCAGTCGCCAGTGACGGCTCGATAGTAGCTGCGGTTTGAATAAATAAAATGTACACACGCACTTAAATGGCATGTAACGAATTACATTGTTTATACTACTACATGAGAAATTTCTGTAATTTGATTGGCTTAGAGCAGTGGTATTTCAGCTTGATTTGAAATACCTACATGTGAAAGTTACAAACCTTTTGCGAGTAGTAGTATAAACAAATAATAGCATGATTTGTACGTGATATTTGGCATAAATACCATTTGTGATATTTCAAAATTGTCTCAACATTCACCCGCCTAACGGCTCGTGAAATTACTTATAACAATTTCGAAATATCACTCGAAGTATTTATGCCAAATATCACTACAAATCATGCTATTACCTATACAAATTATCGACAATTTAAAACTATTATAGCTATAAATTTAGGTGTAAATAACAGGAATGGAAGGCATTTCCAGAGCAAGGCATCCACGCAAACCGCCTTTTAAATACTGTAAACACCCGCATATAAGAACAAGTGGATCAAGAACATCAAGCTGAAAGTTAGCCAATAAAGCACCACATATGTGAGAACCAATTCAGCCCAGAAGAGATCTGGTAAATAAAACACTGGCCTTCTTAAACAAAAAAAGAATAGGATGTCAGAATAATAAACCAATGCAGTAACTCATACTAACTGAAGTACATGTACTACAGTGTGCTGGACCATACAAACTCTAAGAGCAATACAGCACTAGCTCATTTATTGTAAGTGATAAAACATGGTATGTTAATTAACCCCTAGTAAGGTATAATGTATAGCATTTCTGAAACAAATTTTAAGAACATTTCAGGCTGCTGCTTACTAAGCACCAGGTAAATAAGAACTAGATCAGCCTGAGCCCCAAAATCATAGGTTCTTATTTGCGGGTGTTTACTGTAATTCCATTACGACTTAAAGTACCCGGATGGAAAGCTTCTCAACTGAGCCCTTATAACACTGGAACTAGTCATTGACTTGTGAGACGAGAGGACCCGAAACTGGAACTGCCATTTCTCAATACTTTTGTCGTGTGCCTCAGATTCAGGATTTTTGTCAGTGTCACAATGGTGGGTACAATTGACATTCAACCTAACCTGCGATCGGGCGAATTTTTTTTTTTTTCGGCAGAAGTGCGAAAGTCGGCGACAGAAAAAGAGAGGAAGGACGCCTGATTGCAGGTTAACATCGAGCCACATTCCTCGACGAGAAACTGTAATTTCACTTTTATTTGCGTATTTTTAAATTCCGGACAGTATGTAGGAACTGCATAAGTTGCGCATTTAATTGTGATGATCTCTGAATTTATTTCTTCACTCTGCAGTTCAAATATTTGAAATTCATATATCCATCTTCATCGAGTATATTAAGAACCAATTTAAGGCTGGATCAGCTCCCAGCTGGCTTGCTAGCTCAATTGCGCTACTGCACTGATAACGCAAAGGTCAGGGTTCGAATCCAGGCAAGCCTCAAATTTTTTCAGGCTCCTTTTCACAACTGCATAGATTGCGTCTTTAACTGTCATGAACTTCTCTGCATTTATTTCTTCACCCCACAGTTCAAGTAAATTAGGAAATCCAAATATATATATATGAAAACCCAGGCGAGACGATTCAAGCCAACTTATCGACGCTATCTACTGGATAGCGATTTATCCAGTGGATAGCGTTATCAAGCTTTTGAACAACTGGGGCGTGCAACTATATCTTACCCAGATTTGCATTTTCCACAAACAGCATTTTTTGAAGATGTACAAAGACTGATTGTTTGCTCGTTTGGGTCGCAGACTGTACACGGCTTGCAAGATGAAATATCGCGCTTGTAGGAGTAACCTTCGCCTGTTTGACAATGTACACACTCCACACTGACGTCAGCAGTGATACGTGAGCCGCACTGCGGGACAAGGCCCTGACCCGCGGGACACTCCGGGCAATTGAAACATTCAGTTCCAGTTGGTTTTAGCACAGAAATCTGGTTCCATCTGCAGTTCCTTGGCAATTTAAATTCGGCATTTACCTGAGAGAAAAAAATGCCTAGTTCAGTGGAATTGCACCTTGATTTTCCGGCTGCGTACCCTGACAACAGGAAGTCTGGATGCGTGAAAAGAACTTCCAATATTTTACTGATGCGTTCACGCACATAAGAGTTTTGATCCGACAAATTTTGTTCCGGATTCTTCCCTAAACGATTCTCTTCAAACGCTATTCAAAAACGTTTGCTCATAAGCGACCACTCTCAGTTCTGCATTCACCTGGAAAAAAATGGGTAGCACTGTATTTTTGTTTTTTTTTTTTTCGTGGCGTACCCTTATAACAGGAAGTCTGCATCGAAAATAATTTCCAAACGGTGATTATTTCACTGAATACAGATACGTTCAAGCACATAAGTGTTTTGATTCAACAAATCTCATTTCGTATTCTTTCTCGAAAAAAAGACTGCAAAAAGGTTGTTATTGTTTTGAGTCTAGGAGATATGTCATAAGTTGGTGGAACATACTCATCCAGGTGAGTGTATAGTACTAACAGTGACACTCAATACCCGTTTTGTTTCTATGTCAAATGCTATTCAAACATCTCTCGAAGCCAACCATTTTCGAAGCCAGGAATTGCTTATCATGTGCGATGAGCGACGACCGCAAACTACTGTTGCATAATCCTTGCCTTACTTGGATGAATGACATTGCAATTTAATTAGATGTTTTTTTCTGTACAAACTGTATATTATAACGCCCGATTTGGAAAACGGTTATTTCAAAGTAGCATTGTATGTTCTCTTCATTTTTTTAGGGAAAACAGCTAGTTATAACTATATGGAAACATTTTTTCCTGGCTTGTTTTGTTGGTTTTTCTTCAAGAGACAACCTTCTACGCGCCCATTTTAATTGCTCCAGGCGTCTTTTGTCGCTTAAGGGAGTTGCCCGTTTTAGACCCTATTTATCGACCTAATTTGCCAATATTATGATGTTGCAATGATGTTGGCCGTCTGTCAGCAAAGATGTTTATGGCCGTGAAGGTGAAAGTCAGGTGCATTTCATTGTAACAAAGTCAAAAAAAGTTATCCCTTTCTACGACGAGACGCTTAATATCAAATAAATTGCTTGTTCTTACAAATCTGGCTAACACTTTCAGTCATGCTTTTTAGCTCTCGATCTCATCATGGTATTTACCTACTTGATCGAATTTTCTTTTCTTTTCATATTGTTTCATGCGCATGACGTAATCACGAGGGAAGCTTTATAGGATAGTTTCAGCTGACTCCGGCAACTGACAAAGGTTTATCTTTGATCCGAAAATTCCAGAAAAAAATAATAAATGTTGCGTAAGCTACTTTAAGATGGCGACAAATTTAATGCTTTCACGTTTTGTTTAAAAAAGAACTGAAAAGAAAAAGGATCTTGACTGGGTCACAAATTTTCAATTTTGGTTTAGGACTTTACTCTAGGCACTTCAATTCTCCAGGGTGATAGAAGGACAAGACCACCAAAGAATGAACGGTAACAGCATATGCTTCCAATTAATTACTAGCCATGAAGGGAATTTAATTCATAAATACAAACGTCAAAGATATCTTGCTCATTGAAAATGAAAATGAAAGTGAGGGATTTAGTTATCAGTCATCTTTTGTCATAGATCGAATAACGGGAACATTATTTACATGTATACGACAAATGTAGGCAGTAGGACAGTTCCCGTCTACACGAATCCGGATATTTTTGAAACTGCATTTTTTTACATACAAACTGGCTTTCCTTTCACACGAGACCAGTGAATCAGCTCAGGAAATTCAGCCCCGACCTCTTTCCGGAGTCGGAGGTAGTAGGGATTGCCTCTATCATAAATTAAACAATTATTGGAGGATGAGGTCGGACTAATCAAGGTTTCGGTAAGTCTTATCAGCCGAGCCGAAGGCCGAGGCTGATAACAGTTACCGAACCCTTGATTATTCGGGATGCCACAAAAACCGAACCTAATAATTGTTTTATGTTTTGAGGAAAATAACGACAAACACACCGTCGTAAGGAAGAAAGGAAATCATGCATTGCGCGCGCAATCTACCGATTAGTTAGTCATCTGCTAGCAAATAACTAACTAATCGGTAGGTTGCGCTGATTCCCAAAATTAGCTGTAGTTTCTTAGCCAGTAAGAAAGGGCAGATAATGAGTAATAGATTCAGTGCTCAGCAGTCAGGGAATGACGTCAAACTTAGCGATACTGCATACTTAGCAACCAGTTAACTCACCGTGTGACACATTGCATGAAGAATGCAGCACAAATTTAGAACCACCAGACAGACATATACCTCGAGAGCCGTGTACATAGCCTTGATCTGTTACAGGCCTGCAAATGTGAAGGATAGATCGCTTTGTCTGAATCGAAATAGGAAAGAAGTGTTGGAAACTGTCCACACTTAGTGCCCGGGCTCCAGTGCCTGGGCACCGGCACAAAATAATGTTGTGTTCACACCTTGAGAACTCGATATGCATCTATGTACATAGTTATCTTATTTCGCCCTGTCAGACGCCACTTGGAAATATCAGCTTAGCAGCGAGTACAAAGCAGCGGCAGACTGCCCATGAACTAACAAAAACTGTGTGCACACAGGGACCTGGTGCCCATCACCCGAATTTTAGCGTGGGTACTTGAAAATAGGGTGTGTTCACATTAGCGCCCAGAGAGTACCGTACTCGGGCATCGTTCCCGGGCATCAAGTGTGAACGCTGCCCTAGATAAAATAATGCCGGAAGAGCCAAGTGTAAGAAACAATTGCTGGATTTTAACTTTGCACATTCGGCACACTTCTTTGGTGCAATTTCTGGCCCAGTACGTCATGAGCGAGAGTGACAATCACAACGAAGGTGGCGGGATTGCTTGGATAAGGGAAACCTAGCGTACGCACATTTCACTCGACAAGAACTCGAACACAGAATTTTATACAGAAGATATACTGAGCACTTTAAACTCCACTTTACAGATACACTCTTCATTTTTCCATCTTTTGCACCGAGGTGGTGAAAATAATCTTTTCGAATCCAAATGCCTTAACTAATTCTCTTACCATAGGCGGAAATGAGATTAAAAAGTAAATAATTATCATATTTGCATTTTACTACCGTGGTTAATCACGAAGATTACGAAAATAATGAAGAAACATTCTTTAAAAATTTGTCTACACGCAGAGTTTCATGACATCACACCATGTTATGCAAGACTGGGTTTTCAATCTTGTCATCTGCTTTAGTATCCTTTGATAGTGAATCGATGCTCGTCCCACAACGGCTCTAGACAAGTCTGGTGTTATTTAGATACTTTAGTCGTTTAGTTGGACTTTAAATAAAAATGAATGTTACATTTCCACAGATCTTTTCACGTATGACTTGTCAAGAACACCAAGATGATAATAATTTCCACTTCAAATTGTCAATATGCTTAGTTAACACAAACAAAGGAGAGGCAACGTCATTCACTCTACTGCCACGAATTATTCTGTAAGTTTTCATCTCCGTTTGTAGAATTATAAACAAAATTGAAGCACTCAATTACCTTCTTAAGAATCCTGATCGAAGTATAGTTTCCTTTTGACGAGAACTGCTACTTCAGGTTCAAGAAAAGAGGTATCGTTCCTTTAATAAGTGCAAACGTTAACGTTTTCATTTTTGTTTTTATAGAAAGGGAAAACCCCACCAAATATTTATTTTAAAATGTCACGACCGTTTCAGAATTATAGCGCGTACATAGGTCAAGTTGGCCCTTTAAAACCTTAGCCATGTTATTACACCAGAAAGCAACAAGGAATTCTCGTCTGGACGTTAAAGATTTACCCATTTGATACCACTTTTTCGTTCGTATTATTATCAGCAAAGAAATGCTCCAAAGTAATAGAAGTCACACAACCGGAACATCATATCGAAATCGTTAGTGCCGTTCAAAACAATCATACGAGACAAAAAAAGAATTAAAACAGTTTTCAAGCCCCTTAAATCGACTCCTGTTAGAAGAATCGTCAATTGCATTTTGCGTTTTACTTGGGAAAACGGTCACATGATTATGTGACAAGTGACGTCATAAAAATTACATCACCACCACTTACAATTGTAAAATATATTCATGCACGATATTCAGTTGAGCTTCAGATGTACCGAGCGGCGATCCTCGAGAAAAAAAAAAGATCCCGTCCTTGAATTTGTTTTCACACTTCAAGTAATCTCATGAACAGTCACGGTTAAGGCCGACTAGGCTTCTTGCGGAATTTTTTTTGACTTTGGACGCTTTTTTTAGGGTTATACCGCCTCCAGAGATTTATTGCTGAGGTAAACATATTTAAAATATGGAATGTAAAAGATTATTCCCGACCTTTTCTTTAATACTTGATCGTAAAAAACAAACAAGCCGCAAATAAGCATCTGTGGCTAGTACTCAGTGTTTCTTTGTGTTTTCAGGTGTCCTGCTTTCCTGGTTGGGCAACTGATAAGAGAGAACGGATCGACTTACGAAATTCTACGCATTACCACACTTAAAGGTGATGAAAGTTATGTTACCGTATATTACGTTTCAACAGAGCTTTATTTCGTTATGGGAGAAGGTATGGATCATTGTGTTGTGGCGTTAAACGTTATAATCAACATGTACAGTACATCATTGTCCATACATTTTCATTGATCGCTAATTCAAGGGGAATTTGATTGAACAGCAAGACGTTAGTATTCATGGGTTATCAAGTCCTTAATTCTCATGACCTTTAAATTTATTGTAAATTGATATAAATTATTATTATTGCAAATTAATATTATCTAAATTATAGTCAAGAGCCAATACGTACTATAGGTGAATGCTAATCTGTAAACATTCTTTGAAAGTTTCAGTATCTGATAATTAAACAATAGTAAATTTAACTTCTGAAAACAAACTCAAAAATAATCCTGCCGCAGTAATAATAACAACTATGAAAGGAAAGAAGGAAAATCCTCAAGTAGTCGTAGTCATTTTCCCTACGAACATTCATTGAAAAAACCACAGCTTTTTTTCTTTCTGTTTTTTTTAACTTTATCATTTTTCTCTAAATTATTGTTTTTCAGATGTTCAGTATCGTAGGATTTTGTTTGATGGCTTCATCTCTGTTCATCTCATTTACAATAAAACCAACAGAAGCTAGATGTTCCCAAACCAGGGAGTTCACTATATTGAACTCAAACAACCATGGTGAAAGATGCACAAGATGTCCAATATGCCCCCCTGGAAAAGGACTCGCAGTGCAATGTGGTTCAAAAGTAAAGAATGGAACTTTTCTTGGTTGTGAAAACTGTGAGAATGAAACATACAGTGATGCTAATGACACCTCTCACTGTAAGCCCTGTAACCAATGTGGCTTTAGGATAATACACAGGAAATGCACCTCAAGGCAAAACAGCAACTGTTCAATGACAAGCTGCATTCATGGATATTACATGGATCATGTACTAGATCTATGTCTACCTTTACCAGTTAAAATACACACGACCTTGGTATCAGTGTTAAAAAAAAAATCACTCACTGAACCAACAGAAATACCTGTGTCTTACAATGAGTCTCTAGGGACATCAGGACCATCTAGCAAGAATCTAAAAAATTCTACAACTACAGCAAGGTCTAAACCTACGAAAAGCAGTACTGTTCATCACAGTAAGGACAACAGTAAAGTTGGCGTGATGATACTAATAACTGGAGGATGTTTACTGGTTATAGCCTTTTTAATTTACCTGGTCCTCTTCATTGGAAAAAAGATGAAACAATTCCCCTTGTACTGGAGAAAACATTGCTGTCTTGATCCTGAGGGAGCTGAGGGAGGTAAGAATACCTGATTAGCTCATTACAATACAATAGTTTATTGACACTCCCCTGGTGGGGCTTTATCATTGACAATGCGACTAAAAAAAAATAATAATAATTAAGATAAGAGAAGTAGTTAACCATTCGATTAAAAGGAAAGAATGCGGTGAACAAAGCAATATAAACATACCTATTTAAGAATTAATCGTATAATAAATATTACCAATGGAATGCTACAGCATGTCACTAGAGACAAGGAAAACTCAGTTTTAACTTACATAGGTTATTAGGAATCTGCATTTGACCAAATAACAAAAGAATAGCACATCTAAAAAGCTTTTTCAGGCTTTAATTTCTCAAAGTACAGCCTAATAAAGAACTGAAATACTTTAGGTCACAAGTATAGTTGTGCATCACCTCATTTAGTATATATGTAGGACTCAGATTTACAAATAAACAAGGGATGGAGTTTTTTTTTGGGGGGGGGGGGAATTGTTGAGAAGCATGAATTTTTTTATTAAGATTTTTCCACTGTCTGAATTTTTTTAGGCCATCAGCTGCAAGAATATTTTTAAGGTTACTTAATTGGCATATTGTATTTTCCATTTAATTTTCACTTGCATGTATATTTTTTTGTATTCCCACCAATTGTGTTTTGTATGGGTAAATTGCAAGGAAAGATACTAGGAGCAGAGTCTGTCATGCACTTAAATGCCATGAGACATTACAATCTGCCACTTTAGAAATAAGAAGGTAATAAGGAGCTGAAATGTCTCCCATATTGATTGTTTCTGGGATAATGTCACTGAGGATGTACCAGTCAGCTATCAGGCTAATAATCCCAGTCTCTTGTAACAGTCCCAGAAGTTGCCCATCACTTTCTTCATCATTTCTAAAGTGGCAAATAACATTGCTTGATAGCCACAGGTTATCCACTTCTGATCTTTCAGAAAAGCTAAGATATGATTATATTTCTGGGCTCCCCTTCTTCAATGCAGCAGACAAAAGTTTTGCACAGCTAGAGAGTTTTTAATATTAAATTGTTTGACATATTTGTCCATATGTTTGAAAAATAGTATAAAATATTTATCACTGATAATAGATATATTTGTAAATTAATTTAATAATGAGATATTAAGTAAATAAGAGCAAAAAATAAAAAGGAGATCATTGACAAAAATTATGATAATGCATTTAAATTCAGCTTGATCTTGCATTCTGATTCTCAGGTGAAGAAATACCACTCACAGAGTGTGAAACAGATGATCACTTGGATTCAAAGCTTTCCAATGGTATACAACAATCTTAACTACTTTTAAGCAGGCATGCTGTCCCATTAGTTTGTTTACATAAAACTATCTGCCCAATATCACATATCAGCTTCAAGCATTACAAAATTGTCTTGTATTCTAGAATTCATAAAAGAAATATTCTGTGATTTTATGAATCATCAAAAACCTACAATCTTTTGAATTTCACCTGAGACAATGTGACTTTAAAACTTTATAGTATTTCCTTGTGTGATCTGGACGGAAGTCCATTGATGAAAGGGCCAACATTGGTTGAGCCAGCGGAAAACCGTGTATTGAACCCTAAAACAAACTGACAATTGATAATTTTGTGGGAAAGTATTCAAGTTTGATAAGTTTTTTTGCTAAGCTGGAAAAGGTCATTAAGTTTTTCTTACTTTGTTGACCACAATGAAATCCTGGTGTTTTGCCAAATTTTAGCGATCAGATTGCACCAGATTGCATCCTACAGTGTAGAGTACTTAATTTTTCAAAACTTCCCGAGGAGCATGCCTCCAGACCCCCTAGTTTATTCGCCATTGGCACTATGGCGCCAATATTACTTCCAGTTATACCCCACCAAGAAAAAATTCCCGGTGCCGCCCCTGAACCCTGTATATACATTTGCACAAACTCATTTATGTCAATACCATAAACCCCCATGTCTCTCTCATAGAAAAATGTTTGCCCTGTTTTAAACTGATATTAATTTTGATTTAATTCAACTTCCGAATCCTGAGCCATTAAAACATCCCCACACCCGAGGGCCCCGAGGGGTTAGGTACACCTGGGAATACTTGGTGGAGGTGGGCCACCCGGTTCTCCAAATCCCCACCGTATTAGAGACCAAACAATGTATTTTTTCACACCCGTTTGCAGACCTGACCTCTAAAATCCATACCCATTTTCAGACCTGGCCTCTAAGAAATGTCATCATAACTAGACATAGTTATTAGAGGAGACTGGTTATGAAAAGCGGCAAACATCAATGATAAAAACAACAGTGCTGCAGTTTATGTTGGAAGCACCCTGAAAGTGCACAATCCTTTGTTTTCTGTTGACAAATTGTTACGGAATAAATTAATGCAACGTTTTTATTGGTCAATACAATCAAAATGATAGGAATTCTTTTGAACGTTGTGCACTTTCAGGTCCACAAAAACTCTTCAAATGCATTTCGAATTCGCATATTTCTCTTTCTTTCTTACTCATTTGGAAATGAAACGATGAATAGGTTCACACACTCCCGTAGTTCCCTCGAAAACCATATCCAGACCAAAATGGGCAAAGTCTATACCCGTTTTCCGACCAAAACGACGCAAAAACGTTATAAAGGGGGACAGAAACAATGGCTTGAAGAAAAGTCTACTTCCTCTACGTACCTTCCTAGAGATGCTGTAACGGCTCAATCCTCAAAATCGCCACGTTGGTCATGTTGGTGAAAAGTAGCCTGCGTAGCAGACGTCAAAGTGGGCCTTTAGAGCCTGCCACGCAGCTAAGGCCCGAAAATAACATCGTGCACTAATTTGGCATTCTCACATAAGTCACACGAAGTATATGCCAGCCAACAACATACCATGTGATCAAATACCGCAAAAAGCCTTAGCCCCTTCGGACACCTCATGAAATTTACACAACGTAGTTTTCCCCTTTACTAATTAGGCACACCACCTTCTACAGATTAGGGTTTCAGCACTGTTTCGAAACTGGTTAGGTTCCTTTTTTGGAGTTGGGGTTGATGCTATATGTACTTGAATTATTTCATTTTTATCTAGCAAACCCTTAGTGGTCTAGCGGTTACCGTATAATTTTTTTTTTCTGTCAAATTGAAGAGACTTGCACTTTCATGAACATTTCCATCTTGAAGTGTGATATAAAAGCAGAAAACAGTTCTACCTTGGTGTAAATTTCATGAGGGGAGAATGGGGCTACGGCCGATGGGATCTAATACTGACCGAAACAAATTCCGTAAATAAGCCCCGGGAAGCCCCGGGGCGTCTTTATTCTTTGTTTCAAAGACCCTTTTTGAGGGGCTTATATTTGAAGGAGCTTATCACGGAGGGAGATTTGATTTCAAAATCGGCTGGGCTAATTTACATCTCAAAATCGATTGGACTAGCTTATAGTTGTAGGGAAATTTATGTCAGTAACTTGCAGAAAGTTTTTACTGAAACTCGCCTTGAGGACGTAGATCTTACTAAACCTCAGCCATGCAAGTACTTTGTTCTACTTAGAACGAGGAACGAGGAAATCCAAGCCAAGAGTTAAGAGTGAAGTGCGCAAACAGCAATATACTGTGACACTTTTTGACTGCAATCATTTGGCACACGTAATAGTTCTTTGGTAAATGCAAAAATTTATGTGTCAGGAGCCGATTACTTCACTACTGAAATATGTGGACGTCCTCGAAAACACATTACTTTCGCGGGAACGCCTGTTCTAAAACTAACTCTTTACGGGAATTGGTTGACTCAAGGGAACAGTACATATGGAGGATCCAAGTAATAGGCTCCTGGTTACTGTACAGTTTTTGCTTTGTTTGTTCGTTTGTTTTTTTTAATTTGAGGGCAATTTCCGAGTACAGGCCCCCGGGGGCTTATATTTGGAGGGGCGATTTAACGGAGGGTTTTTTGCGCTACCTGTTTGGGGGACTTATACATGGAGGGGCTTATTTTCGAAATTTTACCGTAGCTCTCCAAACCACAGGGGTGCTCCTATATAATTTATGGGCTATACTGGTATGTGGTATGTGCTTTATTTCTGGAGCCTAGGCCAGGATATTTTACTTCAATTTGATTCTGGAGCAGGGTCGATTTGTTTCTTCATAATCCCTGATTATTAACTTTGTTTTAGGTTCGTTCGATCACCTGCTGTAATCCTACCGCGGAAATAAAAAATGCAATCAAACATTCTTTTGCCACTCTTTTGCAAGTCGTCGCAAAATAAGACTATGGTCATGAAAGTCGGGCAGGGGAGAATCCCGGACCAGATTGACTCATTTTCAAAGGCTGCTATTGGGCGCTTTTCATTCAACAAAACTTTCGGAAATTCCACGCGCCCAATAGAACGGTACATTCCGGTTATAAAGACCCGACCCAAGCCACTGCGCGAAATGGTCCGTTCCATTTGACTTCTAACCAAAATTTCCGGAATTTTGAGCTGAATGGAAAGCGCCTGCTATTATAACTAACAATCACATCACTATCTTCCAGATTATAATTATCTACTGAGAGAGAAATTAAATGTTCATGTGATGGATGAGCTTGCTGGTCAACTGGATCAACCAGGCTATCCTAGGGCCAGTTACTGGGTCCATCTTGCTTCAGAATTCCAAGTTCCGGAGGAAGTTATCATGAAATGCCAGCACAGTTTCGAAAGTAGTCCAAGCAAACATATGCTTGAGTGTAAAGAGGGCTTCGACACTAACTTCTCTGTCCAAGCACTCAAAAAAGGACTAAGAGCCATCTCAAGAAACGATCTTGTACAGAAAGTAGACAGTTGTCGTCTTCCAAGTAAGTTCCCTAATGAATTGCAGCAAGAAAAGATAAAGGTCCTTTCATCCCTTCTTGATTCAAAGGCGATATTTTATCTTCTAGTCTCTTGATTGCAGTTAAGTTTTGATTGTAGTCTAACCACTTTATTTGCTGTGCAGATTTTTGAGCCAATAAAAAACTCGGAGTCCAGCTTCTGTGTGAATAGGGCCGTCTCAGTCTTACAGCTCCCAGTTGCTGGGGCCTGGGATAGGCGAGAGAAAAAGAAAAGCGAGACAACTCAGCAGCAGCGGAGAGCAAACAATCAGCTCATTTTATTTTCAGTGTTTTCTTTATCTGTTTTTCCTATCACTTTTCCTGCCGTAAGGATCAGTCTACTGTTCTAATTTTAAAATTAATTAATGGTCCAGATAAGAAGGAAAGAACCAAACGCAATGCGCACGTCGGAATGTATAATGGTCTAATGGTGCTAATTTTACTATTGCCTCTGATAAATTCAGTGACTGGTTTACACATCAAATTTCACGGAATCTTCGCAAAGCAGCATGTATGTTCATCCCTTCTTTTCTAACCAGCTTCCTCATAACAAAATCTCGTCCGAGTCTGAATAACACAGAAAAAAAAACACCCTTTAAAATGGAGTTTAAATATATTTGATGTCGTTAACTGCCTTAATTTGTAGGTTTATGCAAAAATAAAACTGAAGAACACGTGCACTAATATAAATGCCCTTTTTTACAGCCAGTGCAACATTACGGGAATTCCGTGAGAGACATCCAACCATTTTTGAGAGTATTTGTCTTCAAATGGACCACCACAACAACTGGAAAGCTTTAGGGCTGAGCATAAGTATTCCAGATGAAACACTGCAACAAATTGCGACATCCACCAGCTGTGCGAAAACAGTCTTTGACATCATTGAAAAGAAAAACCCCAGACTGACAGTAAAGGAGATGCGAGATGTCTTGAAAGAAATGTTGAGAGAAGATGTGTGCAAAGTGCTGGAAAAGTATCTCTTAGGTATCATTTTCTACTTCTGATTTTCAAAAGCTCATAGAAACAGAGCCGATTATTTTGACTCGCAGTAATAGATACAATTGCACAACCTAATAGCTCTTCTTTTTGAATTTGTCTTTTATTAATTAATTCATCTGAAGTGACAGCAGACAATAAATGAACTGAAACTATGGGTGCGTTCGATTGGGAAATCCGGATTTAGATTTTCATTATAGGTGGTTTTCACGTTACGTCATCGCCGCCATGCTGGTGGACGGTAAACAAAAGATCCTTCATTAGCTTGCTTTGTTTGTCCACCAGCATTTGTTCATTTCACCATTGTTTTTTGTGTCTCCCGAGATTGCATGAAAACCACCTATTTACCATTTTAAGTTTTACAAAGTGTAATAACGGGAAAAACAGAATTCTGAATCCTTATTATTTACATCAAAGCGACAAACGTTTTCACCCATAAATGTAAATTCCTTTAATTTCACATTTTGTTGATTGTCTAACCGACCGACTGATTGAATTTTAAAAATTGCCAGTCTGCAGAACGGGTGTTATTTTTCGCGTTTTTCAGGCAAGAAAAGGCAGGCGCGTATAGCGAAGGCGCGAGACACGCGCGAGGGGCCACACCCGCTTCGTGCTTCGCTCGCCCTAAAAACGTGTAAATTTAGCGCCTGTTCTACAGGCTAATTAATTGATTGACCGATCATTGACCGATCATTGACCGATCCGGTTTATTTTCCCTTTCCACAGATAGCCACACAGCTGTAAATTTGCGTGAAAATATAAATTGTTCGGAAGAGGTTGCAATCTTGTTGGATAAAGAAACACCAGGAATGAAAAACTGGCTGCATTTTGCTCGCAAGCTTGGTGTATCCAAAGAAGATTGCGACAATTTAAAGCCAAAAGGAAATCCAAGCCCGACCAAAGCCTTAGTGGAACACATCGTTCAAGTTGATCCGGGCCTCAAAGTCAAGACGTTTATCGAAGCGCTGATGAAGATGCAACGCATAGATGTCGTCAATGCTTTGGGAAAATTCATTTGAGGTAAACAAACTTTTTAAAAATGTGAAGTTATTTTTTTCTTATTTTTATCATTATTCCGCTTTTGCATTTGCTGTGTTAGGTCTTGATTAAGTTTACGTTGTTTGTTTTCTCTTCTCTCCTACCGAACAGCTTCAACAGCTAAACAAGCGTCCGACAGGGCCGAACATTAGTTGCACTGCATCAAGAAACAGGTTATAAGCTGTTACTTGAGGACCTGGATGTAATTAAAGAAGCATAACTCCCTGCACTGGTTTCAATGACTGATGTAACTCCATGTCCGTACAAGAATCCCAAGCACAATTGACACTTGTCACAATCATCTGTACCTCTATAAGGACATCAAAGGAACATAGCCACCATGCCCGCATCAAATTGGTGTCCGTATAATAGAGGTAGGGATGGTAAGAAGTTTAGTAAGTTTCATCTTCGCTGGAGAACAAGAAGATTGTGAGAAAAAGGGAAGTGTAGAGAAGAGGTTCGATTGATATGAACAAGTTCAACTTGTCATTCACCAAATTAAGGAAAGCCGCAGCAGAAAAACTATCTTATATCTCAGCGGAAAAACTGTATTACTTAGGCAAGAGTGATAGGCTTCCTTGAGTAATGGGAGAGTTCGTCGAAGCGTCCAGCACCACTCTCGTAAAAGATAAGACGTAGCTCGCATTTTAATTTTTTTCCTACGGCACTGCGTTTTGAGGCCTTAGATACACTTGGATGAGGTATCGCACTTTTCACTTAATGCTATAAACCATATCTCAAATTGAGACTCCCGGAAGTAAGGCACTGGGTGCCAACGTTCGATTGATTAGCCCTTGCGCAAAAATATTCCCTTTATGGATTTCTTTTGGCTACTCATGCTACTGTATATGTTATCTTTCTGTATACCCAAACAGTATTTGTAGATATATAAGCTATCACGTACAACTAGTCGCAGACTCAAAAGTGACATGATTCAGGAATTTAATTTTCGCAAGTGCCTCAACTATTTTGCAACTGCTTGAAGTTCCAAAAGACCTAGAATATTCATTAATACCAGGAGCCATAATCGGGGTAAGAGACCGTAACTGGGCTTTTTCCAGGAATGGAGTTGGTTGCATCCAAATAGCCAAAAGTGCTATTTTTAGCACGAATTGTGTCATCTCGTGTGACACGCGCGCGCATTTTTTTTTGCGAGGGCGCCGCGCAAAGGATAAACAGTCAAAATGGCGTCGGAAATTACCTGTATAGGAGTTGAATAAATTCCATTTCTGTCATTATTGCCTTCCCTGAATTTGTAGCAAGGCCTTGAGGAGAACCTCTTTGACAATAACTCTAAATGTGAGTAAATGTGACGCGTAGTGAGAGTGTTTTTGACAAATCCAGTGACGAAGAGATGTCGGAGATGACGTGCGATGAATATCCCGTTCGGACGAAACAAAAAAAACCTTGCGGGGAAAAGGAGGGCTGAAGATTTAAACGAAACAATAAAATAAAAAATATATTACATTTTTTGTTTTATTCTTCATCCTTCATCGCCCTGCCGTAAGGATCAGTTTGCCTTTTCATGATATCCATTACAGCCCGGCGTGTTTTTTTGCGATAAACGTATTTCTTGTAATGTTTATATACATTCTCTCTTGTTATATCATATTGGCTCATTCTACTGACCACTGTGCATGCATTGTCTATCGAGATATGAAGCACTTGGAAAGTTCAGAGTGCACTCAAATGAAGTCGCAAAACGATCGCCTATCTCCTGAAATTCCACCTGAGAGCCGCGCAAATTCGTGGGTTCCCGTGGCTATTTCGATATGATGGAACTGCGTGGACCCCGCCCTTGCGGTCTCCTACCCCGATAAGCGTAAAACGGCCAAAAATTTAGCCGATAGCCGTAAAAATTGAAAAATTTTAACCGTTGGCCGTAAATAGGGTAGAAAAGAGTTAACCGTAAAAGAAACTGTTCCCTAGATTTGCTACTTTTGACGAAGGTACTAAACTCACTATGGTTGCGTTTTTTTTATTTCTCGGCTAGTGTGACTCCGTACGCACGTTAGGCGAAGCGCCTTAACCAAGACCTAGGCTCCATCCGGCGCTCTCTCGGGGAACTAATTTTTTCCAAAGCGAAAGTGTGGCTTCTTTCCGGAGGTCGTGCCCTCGAAACACTAGTGAAACAACACGCAGAGATGTCACTGTTTGTAAAACACGTTGCCGATAAACACTACATTTCCCTGTTTTTCCCCGACGCTACGGTAGACATTGCCATGCCTAGTCTCTGTACGGCGTCTTCCCACGCAGTCTCGGTCAAGGCATTTCGGTGGTGAACTCACTCGGACCACGAGACCCGAAAGGCAAGAATAATGCGGCCTACGGACAAGGTAACGGCAGACAGTCGTTCCGTACAGTCCTTCGCTATCATTAAAAACACTGGACACAAGAATTTGGTTATTGGCCGTTTTCACACTAGAGTTAGAAATGGATCATCCGTCTGAGACTAGCCTGTGTACAGTCGCGTCCTCCCCACAGACACCCCTTCTCCGATTTTTTCTGAGGGGAGGGGGCGGCTGTACACAGGCTATCTGGAACAGATAATCCCGTCTTCAAAAGTCAGGTGGATTGTTCATTCAAAATTAAAACTATTCCATTTTCAAATTAAAACGTATTATCTATCTGACGCGAATCACCAAACGGATAACCTGTCTCACACGAATAATCCTTCTCTAGTGTGAAAACGGCCATTTCTGTACGTTATAATGAATGTCGCACCCCGGCCTTGAGTAGGGCGTTCGCGTGTCTGCGTTTGCTTTTTCACAAAGATTATTTTTAAATTGACTATTGACATTTCTAAGTGTAAAATAATATTAGAAGTGGAATACTTTATAAAAAGTATAATCTATCAAATGTTAAAATTTTTCAAAAGAATAGCTTATTTCATCCCGCGATGATCCGAAGACCTTTATTCAAAAATACAGGTTAATTAATAATTAACTTTTTGAAACTTAAAGAAGTTAATTTTGAACTTTTTCGTTAACCGTAACTGGAAAAACTTAACCGATAGCCGTAAAAGAGCCAAAATTTTAGCCGATAACCGTAAATGCCACCACCCCATTAAGACCCTCGATTATGGCTCCTGTTAATACTTAACTCCCGAGAGTGATCAACATCAATTTTCTTCTTAAATATCAATACTTAATCATGGGGAAAGTTTAGGAGAGCTTACAAAATGATCAACTATTGAAACTGAATTCTTTGATCTATTATCAAATTCTCCCAACTTATTCTTTAAGGAAATGTATGGCGATCTGTCTGTGAAATTTGCATAAGGATTTTGAGGCCTAGAGGGTTAAAGGAGAGATCTTGATAGCACGTAATCCTTCCCCCAGAGAATTTTTTTCTTCAACCCATGGACTCCTGGGCCTGTTGCAAGTAGCAGTTACCAGGGATACCAAATATTCTTTCGAATTTGCCAGTCAAATCCCGAGAAGGGTCCATTTCTCAGTTTGGTATGGAGGTACCGTATACGTGCATGTTAAAAGTACCTGTCAATGGATTACATTCAAAGAAATCGGTCACTATGATTTGATCGATGCAAATCAGTTATTCCCCCTACTAATCATAATATCCAGGCCATTCAACCGGCCTCAAGGCACTAGAGAAAGACTGGGCCTCGTCGTGATATTCGATTTTTACTTACTTTGAAAGGAATTACAGCACCGCTTTAGTACTTTAGTGATTTTCTTTTTTGCCATGTATCAATTGTAAAAAAAGCCTACGTTTGTCATTAAGCATTATTCTTTTAGCCTTTAAAACCGCTCCTTCAAGAGACGGTGTTGTCATAAACTCTTGAACTGTGATAACAATTTTATACCCCGCTTAAGCATAAATTTTATAGAAATTGTAGATTTTTTACAGGTATTTGATAACAGTTGCTTTTTATGTGCAACATTTTTGGCTTCTCTTAATAGCAAGCAATAAAGAGAGTGTGTTTACAATACTGGAGTTCTTAAATATCATAAACATTTAAGCTCAACCGGATATAAACACCCCGGCATCTCACTCCCGCCTCCGCATGTTTCTAAGCCCACGCAAACCCCTTGCGATGTGATATAAGCCTAGACCTTAAAATTGAGTTCTACCGTAACGAAGAAAAGTGGGGTTCTTGTTCCATGTATCCCTTTCTTTCACTTCAGTTTCCAGCAATACTCTTTTTCACGTTTTTTTTTTCCATACTCGTTAGGGATTCTTCCCTACGTATTCAAAATGCCACCAAGAACTCCGTTCACATGACGTCTTATGCAGATTATAGCGAAAGTGAAAGTAGTCAGATTCGTTATTTTCGTTTTCAGCTCAGAGCACGTACAGTGATTTCTTTCACTTGACCTTTGTTCAGCGGCATATATTTATCTTCAATTCTGCTAAATATAATGATGATATGCATAAATGTCCATCGAAGCTCTCTAACCAAGAATGACTCGGAAATGACTTGGTTTTAGAGAAATCTTTAGAGACAACGACTGTCATCCGCTCAGCATCACTGTCTGCGCCATTCACGATCCGACAGTTGGGCCTTGTGAAACAAAATCAAGCCTCTTCTTATTTCTTGTTTATTAAACTTGTATGCGAAACTGAAGCTGACAGATTTTGAACCCTTGCTTTTTCTTTTTCTAAAGAAATTTCGCCTTCATGGCCTCAAAAAGACTAAGACCCAAGGGTGATCGTTCGCCAAAATGAGTTATTGCATTTTTTTTTTCTTTTCTCATCCGGGAAACATGAGAAGTAGTCGTATCTTTCATCTTCATCGACAACTGAGAGTGAAGTTAAATTAGGCTGTGTTCACACTATCTACTGGATAGCTTTTCGTTTACAAAAATACCTATCCGAATTGTCAGAATTGTGTCTCTCCACTTTAGAGATCTGCGAGGCGCAGCTTCCCTGGACAGAAATCGCGACGACAGTCACCCTTCTTATGTGTGAACAGACACCCTATCGGTATGGTTGTCGTAAAATAGCCTTAAGCAACATCATAGTTAATAAAGTGAAATGGTTATGAATCCCGTATACTACCAGTAGTCCCCCATTTTTCCTCAGGGATCCCTGAGGAAAAATGGGGGACTACCCGTAGTCTATGAATCCCGTTAAACTTCTTTGTTATATGATTTTGCAAGTTTTTTTTACTTGATCGTGTACCACGTTCAGCAGCATTCCTATCATTTTCAAACCTCGCATTAATTTGTTCAGCCAAGTTATTCTGAACAAAAAAGAAACAA